TCTTATCGATCCGCTGTAACTTGTATGAAAAAGGTAATCGAATAGTTAATAGATGAAGAACCAAATAAGTAGTTTTCCGTTAGCATACTTGTTGGATGGCATCAAGATGTATCGAATATTCATATTATTCAACAATGTAATATTGTTAAACTTTCTAAATGGTTTACTTTTGGAATTATGGCGAACGAGTCAACACGTGGCGATAGTAAAGTTTTTGTCATATGTTTTATGTATTGGGATCTAGTTAGTAATGAGCCAAAAGTTACTTTATTGGAACTTCAAGATTTAACTCAATGTACCGAGACATTAATCGCGTATACTGTTATTAAATCATGTAAGCAATATCAACTAGACCCAACTAAATGTTTAACTTGGACAACAGACAATACGGCATATATGTCAGGTTATAAAAATGGCGCAGTAGCTTTATTTAATAAAGAAATTAATTCAAATTCGTTTAGAATTTCTTGTGAGCTTCATTCGGCACATATAATGATGACAAATTTTGAAAATGTCGTATTCGGAAAGCTCAAAGTCGAAAAAGGATTTTTAACTCAAAAACATCCTTTTAATTTACTGTACCTTATTTGGCAATTGCATAACAGGTATAGCGAAAGTAATAAAAACAATTCAATGAATATGAAATCATCTTATATATTTGATTTATATGCTAAATTATTTGGAATTCAATTATCTTAATTTCAAAAACCTTTACGGCAATGGTGGTTATACGAATTACAAGCAGCAAGACAACTGGTAGAAAGAAAAGAGTATTTAGAAAAATTTACTCTTTGGTTTCTAAATAAACTAAAATTACAAAAAAAAATACCAAAAAAATATCTTGAAAAGTGGGAGCTTCTTCGACAATGGCTCGCTGATCCAGTTTTAAAAATACAAATAGAGTGTCTCATTAAGTTTGGTGAACAAATATACAAACCTATTATGAATTTTCTTATCAGATTTGATAATGAACCACGAGTTCTTAAATCAGACGGTCAGCTATTGCCACTTTTATCTGGTCGTCAGGCTCATGAAATGCCCGATGCAGTTATTAAATGGATAGGAACTTTAAATAGGATTAGTAATAATATCTGTTCATTCTTTGATACGGAGTTATGGAATGCTATTGATATCTTAGACGATAATGATTTTGAATATTTTTTTAATAGATTAGAACTTGGTATTGATAAAGCCAAAAATTCTTTGGAAACTTGGATGGATATGTGGCTTCACTTTCCATTAAGTGTTTGTCGATTAGATGGCAAATACGGTTATGAGTTTGCTAGAAGTTATTTGAATATAAGGTTAAAAAAATAACGAAATCAAATTCCTAGTCTTAAAGAGTTATATTTTGCGACTCTTTTAGAATCTGACATTGAACGATCAAATTCTAATGATTTGGGTTGTTACAGGTAATTGAAAATCTATCATTTTTACATGAATTAATAAGTTTTTCTAATTCTGACGAATTACCAATTTATTCTTTTCTTTTAACTATATGAATTTGTCAAATGCTGAATTTATTATATCATTATTCACCAACAACAGGTTGAGGAACTGTTTAATAAGTATGATCTCAAATATCATACAAACATGAACCTCAAAACCAAATAAGCGAAACTTCGCCTTTCAAATATCAAAAAAATTTCTATATCAGACAAGGAATTAGCAATTCAAAAAAAGAATAAAAGAAGAAAATTGGACAAACCTGATGATAAAAAACAGATAATGTTTGGAGAAATAGAGGCCGACAATTTGTTTTATAGTTTGTTTACTAAATAAGAAAATAGTTGTTCACTAAATAAAGAAAATAATTTGCGAAAGTTAAATTTCCGAAATTTCAGAAATTATCAACAAACCGATAAAAAATCCTTACATGATAAATTTATATATAACTCTGACTATGATTTGATTTTATTAGTTTGATGATTACCCTAGGGGGCCACCCTGATATATTCTAAAATAACGAATAATGATAGTAGTGTAGGAGAGAAAAATTAGTTTGTTTTTTTTTATTATAAGTTTCACATAGAAATCTTTTAGAAAAATGAAAGTTTATATGAATAATATTAATTAACTATACAATTTATTAATATTATCATTATAGAGGCTTTTAGAATACGATGAAAAGTTTATACG